TAGATAAGGAAGCCAATGCAAATGGTCTCACATCAAAAGCCCTTCGGAATCAATGGGAATCATTGAAATAAGTCAGCGTCCAGAATCTGCCAGGGTGCTGCGACACCGTCTTTTGGTCCGTTGGACCGTGTATCATGTTTAGGCCCATTAGGGGGCGCGTCCAGGGGGGTGACGCCCAAGACTCTATAATTAGCAGCTGTCACTCTCCTTAGGGTTTGAGTTTTGTTTAGTTCTTGATTTCCTTGTGAAACAGATGTCGTTTTGCTGCAATTGTGCCACCAAGGTCGCTTGCTATGAACCAGGGGCCTAGTTCTTGATCTTGTTCGCCTGTGGTGATTAGTCCTTTCGAATAAAGACTTGAATTCCTTCTTGTTTTCATAAGCCTCATATTTATTTGTAATTTCAGATTGCGTTCATCCCGTTCTTGCTTGTGTTCTCCATTCGCTTGCAGGAAAGCCTTCTCGGCAAGGTCAATCGTGTTCGCGTGGTTGATAACCAACGGAGCAGTGGTGTAATGGTTGTCGGGGTCCGAATCAGTCTTGGTTCGAAGCCTAGATCGTGTACATTGAGACTCCACCAATCGACGCTATCATACCTTTCGGAAGATCAGGCCTTGTCTACATCAATAAGGATCATCAGCTGCTGGAAGTAGGGCCTCGATAACCCAAGCCAGGATAAACTATTGCATCCCCTATGTGATTCTTGTGTTCTTGAGTCCACCCGAACCACTAGAGACACGTACTCTAACACTATCACGAACAACAATGCTTGCCATGATTTTGACCCTACAACAAAGATAATCACAAACACATCCAACTCCTCAAAGAATATAGAGTTCATGAGATACATGAAGTATGCCAGGGCATTGGTTAGCCTAAAAGACATAACCGTGTATTCATAAGATCCATACAACGTAAAAAATGCAGTTTGATAGTTATCATCACCTAACAGAAGATTGGGTAGCCCGTCCCCATCAGAGAGGATCATTCTCACCTTGCTCACTTGGGAGAAGGTGCGTCGTTAGAGTCATCGCCATCATCGTCGGAGTCATCGTCATCATCGTCCTCCTCCTCCTCCTATGAGCTTCACAGAGGACTCTGATCAGGAGACCTCTAGTAAGAGGTGGAGTGTTGCGACCGGGACTCATCCTCGGTGGACAAGTCATTGCTGGGAAGCTTGAAGGGGCTACCTAACATTACTGTAAATGTAGGAGAAGGGGATGAACAAGGAAGAGAGCTGGTTTCAGGGCACCAGGCTTGAAGAATATGTAGAACAGTGGGTGTAGCTCTTTGGCAACACCCGGTGGAAGTAATGGTGATGGGACGGTGTTGGAAGTTGGGATATTCAACGCTCACGCTGAATTTACATCTGGTAGACCAAACGGTCATTTAGGGCCAGTGGCCATAACGCGTATCCTAGTTGGCTCGGTGTTCCATACGATGGAGAAATGCAACCCCAATAGCACCGTCGCATCTATCATTGAACCGTCAAGGCTAGAAGTTTCATCAACTGGTTCGATTCCTTTCAAGGCCCCCACTATTGATCTGGGCGACGGTGGAACTACATCACCATCGCTTATGTAACATACGACGGTGATAATGGTGATGGTGATAGCTCGATCTGTAGTAGTGCCATTCCACACAGTTTGGTAGTTGATTTCTCTCCCCTCACTGCACTAGCACCCATTGCTGGCTTCCTCTTCAGTAGTGGTATAACTCTCTCTGCTACCCAAGTAGTAGAAGCCATTCGGCCAAGAATGCTACTTCGAGATGGATAGGTATGGACATAGCTGTTCTCTTGAATCTGCATAGAAAAACATAGTATTAAATACATTGTTAGGCTAAAAATACATAGGACATAAATACATGGCTATAACAGTAACATTTAGTTCAAAAAAGTACCCTAACACTATTATCATGTTGAGTCCTAGCTCTAATAATCCATGGGCATCCTGCTGAACTGCAGAATCCCCTGAACCTAGTTGTGTTAGACTTCTCAATGCCAAGCTTAAATTCATTCACTATGGCATGTTGTCAAACTGCCAACCTGAAGTTATACATACATGGATAGTGTGTGCCAATAGACATATCAGGACAATCCCTATCCCATTCATACACAGGCTTAGTTGGCTCCCTGCCATCAATAGGAATAGCAACTTCCCCCATCTCTCTTTGAAGCTCACTAGTCATAGCAAGAATGGGAATTTCCTCTCTAGCAGCTTCCTTAGCCCTCTCATCAGCTGCTTTGAATCCCATTGCCTCATACACTTGTTTCTCGTCAGCTATTTCATTGGCCTCACCATCCTCATCTACATCTGGTATTATGGTCAATGTAGCCTAGTCTACTAGAATTGCCTCATCAATGTCCTATGGTGGAGAGGTATAGGTATCGCTAGTGCCTTCTACATTAGGTCCAGCATAAGAAGCATCCACATTGGTGACACTAGACCTAGGAGGAATACCAGTGTTGCTAACCTTAGATGCCACTGAACTATCATTTCTCTCATATCCATCTTTGGCAACAACCTCCACAGCAATGTGTGCCACCCTTTCACCCCATTTGTCCTTCATCATTAGCTACCATTCATCATCCCTTCTAATTTTCCATTCAGAGCCAGTATCAGTGTCCAAAACCCAAATTAACAATGTCTAGCTAGGTCCCTAGATAATCTTTGTAGCCACATCATCATAAATAAAGCTAGACTATACCCAATGCTCCTATCTAGCCAAAACTCATGCTCTTGCTCAATCATTTCAACCAGACCATATTCAACATTAGCGGTATACTTAGCAACCTTAATAACTACTCTAAACGCATTGCTAGGTTGAATCATGGCATAAATGTAAACATAAAAACATTGCACGGTTAGACATATACCCAACCAAGGCAATCTGTTACCCATAGTGATAGGAACAAGACTTACCAAGGGGGGGTAAACGGTAGGATCCATGGTCACAGATCCAGATCGAGTGCGCACTACATCACCCGCCTATGAATGAACAACAAACAAATGAGTTCAGGCCAAGAACGCTGAATCCCCCCAATCCCTGTGGAACCCTAACCCTAGTTCACCAATGCTGCATGCATAATAAGGGGCAATGGCCTCACTAACCTTCTTGCGTCAGGAGCGCCTGTAGTAGGGAACGCCGTCGTCACCGGAGTGGATAGTTGTCGTTGAAGTAGTAGCGAAGCTGGAGAAGAACCGGGAAGAGGGAGAAGACGGTGAGGAATGAACAGGAATGAACTGAGCGAGGGGGCCTGGGCGAGAGGATAAAGCGCCCAGGGCAAGAATGTATTTTCCTATGACCGATCCACGCTAGCAAGGGTGATATGGAGAGCCACAATGTTAAAAGTGGCAAATGATGCACTAAAAACTATTCATGTGGTAAATGTGTAATTGTTAAACTAAGGTTCGTAACTAGACTTTTTGCCGTCAGCAGCGATGGCAAAAATTTAATTTTCTCATTTTCTTCCGCACAGCGGTCGCGCTAGGGGTGCAAAGATTTTGACACAACTAGTGCCCGGATGCCCGGCTTCAGGGGCGCATCCGAACGCACCTAGTCCACATAACGTTTCGATTCCGACTAGATACAATGCGGATAGAGTGCGGCCCATCCTCCCGCTCGTGCGCGGCTCGTCCTCCTACCGCGCCACCATCCCGTCCCCTGCCATGCCCCACAGGACCACCTATCCATTACGAATAGAACGAGTGCGCCCCCGTGTCTGAAAACGAGCATACCCCCACGTGCGGCCCATCCACCGCTGCGCCGCCGTGCCTCGTCGCATCGCCATCCGCTGCACGCCCATTGCCCTCCACACACATCCCCACCGTGCTCCATCACCTTGCAACACGGAGCAATGCGAGATGCAAACATCAGAAGTATTACTTATTTGTAACATCAAAACAAGTCTACTGCAACATCAGAATAAGGCGACTATAACAACTGAACAAAGCTACTGCAATGTGAGATGCAAGATTAGAAAGAAGAGACTAATGCCACAAAAAAATATTACTTGTTGCAACATCAAAATAAGGCTACTGTAACAACAGAACAAACCGCAATGCGAGAAAGCAACATCAGAAAAAAGACTAATGCAACAAAAAAATATTACTCGTTGCAACATCAGAACACGGCTACTGTAATACGAGATGCAATATTAGAAACAAAAAAGAAACTAATGCAACAAAGAAATATTACTTGTTGCAACAGCAAAACAACGCTACTGCGACAGAGCTTGCCGGAACCGTAACCATCGCCGCGTCCCTCAAATCTAGAGGATGAGGAGGATGAAGAGGAGGAGGCTCGGGTCTAGAGGAGGAGGAGGAGCGCTCAAATCCAGAGAAGGAGGTGGAGCAAGAGGAGGAGGGTTGATCCAGACCTACCTTGCCGTCGTCGCCGTCGTCGCCCTTGTCTCCAGTGGAGGTCGCGGAGGAAGAGAACGGCGACGGCGGCGACCTGCGCGGGCGCGATAGCGAGTGGGTGCGGAGGGGGGGAAGAGCGGGCGAGCGGACCGAGCAAGTGGGCGCGCGGGGCTCACGGCCGCGGTCGAGTCGTTCATGTGCGGGTCCGTCCGGGACAGATGTCCGCACAGTATCAATATCGAAAGATTTTCCAACTATATTCGAGGCCGAATATGTTTATACAAGTTCATATCCGTATGTACGCGAGACCAGATATTAAACATTAAATACTCCGAATTATCAAATCACACATTTATAACGGCGATATCAATTATATCGTATCCTCCGTGGCATGACCCTATGCGAATTGGAATGCGACGGAAATAAAAAACAAATGTGACATGAGTGATATCCGTATCCCATCCGTTTTCATCTCCAGGCCGCGCGTCTACCGGAGCTCACAGCGCCTCGCCGCCGGGGCGTCACACATGGCCTACCGCCGGAAGCCTCAGCCCCGGCCTCAGCCGACACCCTCGTTCGAGCACCACTACCCGCCGTTCGTGGGCCCCGCCTCACCCGACTCCCTCGCCGCGCAGCCATGCGCGCCTCCGCCGCGCACCGCGATGCCTCCTCCCTCGCCTCCGCCTACTCCTCCTCAGCCTCTCTGGCGGCCTCTCTCCGGAGCCACCACGATCCCTCCGTGTCCATACCGTCCCCGGTATGTCTCGCCGTGCCTCTCTCTCGCTTATTCCCTCTCTGCGGTTTCGCCTCTAGATGCATCGGGGTCGAATCTGGCCCGGTCAGCGACCACCGCAACGAAGGGGATCCTCGTAATTCTTGGTTGGTAGTTCGGTCAGGCGAGGGATCATTTCGTGTGTAGGCGTAGTAACCATTACGATTATCGATTTCTGCTGAACTGTGTTGCTCAATTTCCCCAGTTCTCTCTCAAGAACTGATGATATTGGTCCTGGTGTATAGGATTGTTCAGGCTATGAATACACGTCCATGTAGAGCCTGAACGAGGCCAAGTATGGATTCTAGGGCACACTTGCGCGGAAGGCAAAGTCGTTTCTTGACGAGGACTGCTCCCCGGAGCAGTACAAATCGCCAAGAGACGATGTGCAAGATGATGTCCAGGTGAGATCTGCAACCCTCCTGCCATTATCTTCTTCCTTAATTGAACTCTTGGGGTGCTAAATTTGAGTTAATTAAACTCCTTGTCTGTAATTGAAACCACTTAATATCTGTACTGATAGATAGAAAAGTACATTCCGAGCTTTCATTTTCTGCTTGAAGCTTGAGACTGGCATGACTCATCATCTTTGTTTATGTCCTATCACTATGGTGAATAACTGTCATCTTGTAGATACAATTATGGCCCACTCTGTACATCTTTGCCTCTGACTCACTGGAACTGCCATCAATATTATGCTTAGTTCAATTTGAAATGTTTTCATGTGGAACACTGATATTTTTCATGACACTGCAGCTTCCACATTCAAAACAATTGCCAGGAGAGACGTGGAAACCTCAGACACCTCCATCTCAGAAGAGATCTGAGTCTATAACCTCCTCCCTTACCTATATTGGAGGCACAATAAAAAATACACTTGAAGTAAGTTGCTGATAAGTTCTTTTCTTTTTACTTAAAGGACTGGATCTTTTAGTATCAGTCCTATGTTTCACTTTCAATATTGTTCTGTGCTGAATTGGTAAATGTTGTGCATCCAGTATAAAATTGTGTGAACAGAAATTCCTTTGCTCCTGCTTTAAACTAGAAAACAATTGAAGCATTCACCATGTTGATCCATATTCTACTACAGCAAGTGGCACCGAACATTTTTTTGTTAATGCATGCTATCTTCATTGAGAGTTGGAAAAAAGATATATGTATCTTTACAATGTTGTGCTATTTTTGACTTCTTGATGATATACAATTGATATATCCTTTGGTTATATCAGATCTCTTTGTTTTTTTTATTGGGTACAACTTGGACGCACACAACCCACGTACTCCACACTCACACCACAACTCATGACATACATGGTATTTTTGTCAGGAAGGTCGGACCATTGTAGAGAATAAAACGGCCAACATTATTCAGGAGACGCGTAAACTGAACATAAGAAGAAAAGGAGCTGGTCCAAATACACAAGGAGAAGCTGGCCACAAAAAATCCACTTGACCATGAAACTCAGTTGAAGGCATCTCGCGACGTAAGGTGGCAAACATGTGTTAGATATGTTGCTTCAGTGCTCCATTTTGCATGTTTGAATCCACAGTATGAAACAATGTCAAATTTATTTTGATTGGCTGGGATAAGGAACACCTCTTTTTGTTTTTCTTTCCTCAATAATAGTGACACTTTGGCTATCTTTTTGCCATCTTGTAAGGTATGATTGAACTAATGTCTCCATATATCTCATACAGGTTGCAAATACCATGGCTGCAAAAGCAAAGTTGCTATTGCGGGAGCTGAAAATTGTGAAGGCAGATTTAGCTTTTGCAAAGGAACGTTGTGCTCAGCTTGAAGAAGAGAATAAAATGTTGCGTGAGTGTTATGACAAGGGTGACAATCCAGAAGATGATGATCTGGTAAGTATATTTTTTTTCTTTGAAAAAATAAGGTACTAAAAATATCCTTCATAGTATTGATGGTGAAATTATCTCCATAAATTTCTTTTGGCTACTATATCCACATTCAGGTTCTATTGGAGTAGCCTACCTATTTTTTGACAATGTTGTCTAGTTTTATTTAGTGTATATTCATTGGACGTTACATCAAAATTGAATGTGAATTACTGAATGCCTTGAGTTGACAAGTTAGCATTAGTTACATGTTCAGCTTATTCTTTATCTTGTAAGGTGCTGGTGGAATTCTCTGGCTATTTCTCACAGGGTTCCTAGCCAGAGAGGGGAGGGTTTTCTCTTTAACTCAACATGGCTGGGAAGTTAAGAAAGTCTTTAACTATTAGTTGACTCATACTTTGCTACAGTTTAAAACTTGTTTTACTCTAAACTGTTGAAGCACGGTTGCAGTACACAGTCAGCAGCCCTGTGCCAGTGGGGCATCCCCTTAGCTCTGTTACAACCCCTTTCAGAGCTTCTGCTGGGCCCATCTTTCCTCCAATTATGTGCAACGGATATGTTATGGCCTTCAGCTTTGCCACCTGCCTAATTTTGCATGTGGCTTGCATTTTGTTGAGCCAGATTTTAAACAAATATTTTTTATTGAATTATACAACCAGATCAATCCTTTCAAGTAGTAATGGTTTGTTTTTTACAAATACTTACAAATCTTTATCTATATCTATACCAAAATCTTTATCTATATCTATACGCCAAAATTTCAAACTAGGTAAGAGGAGCTTGCTTGAGGCCGTGAAGTGAGCGATGCTATGAACCATGCCATCAGGAACAAAGTATTCTAGAGATGTAGAGATGGTTGCATGTAAACCTTCCTACAAAGCTCTCCATTCACAAAAAAATCTTAATGTCAAGCGGAGTGATGGACCACTGGTGAACAGAAGAAACAAGAAGAAGAATGCAAATAGTGGCCATATGAGTAACTGGAGCAAAGGTCTCCTTATAGTCATGATCCCGCTCGTGCTGGAAACCATGCGCGGCGAGGAGCTTTGTAGCACTCTAGAGAGCCATTAGAGTGATTTTTGATCTTGTATAGAACCACTTGCAGGTGATAGGAGTGACTTGAAGGTGGTAGGGAACCAAATCCCAAGTGCGCTCCATTGAATCTCCTTCAGACATGTCATGTAACAATCCTTTAGCCATAAGGACGTGGGCTCAACTAGAGTAGTAGCGGTGAAGCCATAATGAGATGTAGGACAAATAGTGTGACAATCTTGGAGATTGTACCGAGAAGACTTAGGAGTAGGCCCAAAGAGGGATGGATTGGTAATGGAATAGGATGGGAACGAGAGTAGTTGAGAGTGATCTCACGAGGTGAAACAACCAGAGGCGGGGAAGCAACTGGAGGAAGAGGATCAACCGTAGGTGCGGTAGAGTAGGAGGTAGAGATGTGGAGGACGAAGAAGATAAGTGGAAGGGAGAGGATGACTGCGGATAAGACCAATGGGGTAGAATAAGGAAGGAAAGGAACCTGGCTGTGCTAGACAAACTAGTGGAAGAATGTGGATAATATGAGCGGGATTCATCAAAGGTTCCATCCCGAAAAATCTTCATCTAATGGGCAACAGGGTCATAGCAGCATAGCCCTCATGTTCCATACTGTACGCAAGAGAAAACATACACTCAACCAACTAAGCAGTTAGCTTGGTGTGCTCACATACACTCATGACTCAACTGACTAAGCAGTTAGCTTGGTGTGCTTACGAGGTGGAAGAACATAGCAGACACAACCAAAACAACAAAGACGGCTATTGGAAGGAGAGGTGCCAAAAACACTCGTAGGGAGTAGAACCATGAAGAACCGAAGAAGGCGAGTGAGCATGAGCACTAGGGAAGGAGAACTGAGCAAGAGTACCCTGGTCAGCAAGATAGCGCCTATGTGTATTAGAAATATATTCACCAGCAAAATCAACATGAATGGGAGACTTAAACTGATTGTAGATCATAGTGGCAAATTGCTAGTAAATGGAAAGAAACTAACCACAAGAAATTAGATAAATCCCAGTAAAGCGTGAATAATCACAATGAAGATAGCGTAATTGCTCTGTTTGTTACAACTTATAAGTTGTTTATGGTCAAAATAAAATGAGATTAAAAGCTAAATGACATGCTTTTTTTATAGCTTTTTTTGGCCATGATTCTCTCCAGAGCATACATTTGTTCTAAAACGCCAACTTATTTTGACCGCACTTTTGCTTTGTTTGTATAGCTTACCAGGGAAGTGCTATTTTTTTATCGCTCTACCAAACAAGGCCATTGTGAGTCACCCCCTTTCAAAACGAAGTAAGCACGCCCCTATACATCACAGTGAATAAGATCAAAAGGATGCTAGGACATAAATTGACTGGGTTAATGGTTTTGCAGCTGTTTGCCAAGCTTGCTACCGGTACAATGGAGAGCATTATTGATGAGGACATCAACACCAACGATACATCCATGCCGACACAAGTACCTGTTTCTGGTCCTATTACTCGCGCCCGTGCTCGTCAACTTAATCATCAAGTAAGTTCACTCTTGAGTTCCTGTCCATCATATTTAGACCATGGAGACGCGTGCACTCTTGTTTTAGTTAGGAACCAGGGAGAGGACCGAAAGGGAAAATGATTCGCGTAGGCTGGATTCGGACTCCAGGACAGCTCCAACTTGTGATGGTCACCACGGTCGCATATGGACTCGGATTGGGGCGTTCAATTACTTCATGGAATCCTTATGAAGTCTATTTTCATATGGATCTAGACTCAAGTCCATATCTGTTCTGACGCGGCCGCAATGACCGAATTACTACCGAGAAGTTTTCTGTCCAAGGTACTGCGTCGTCTTAGTTTGGCCCAATGGGCCATGTATCAAGTCGGGTCCATTAGGGACGCGTCCTAGGGTTGGAGCACGACCCCAACACCCTGGTGGTCGTCCTTCCACCTTCATATACCCCTTAGCCGCCACCAAGAACAGTTGGGTTTTGTTTAGATCAAGTTTAGCTCTCGCTACTTGCTTGTAAGCGCGCGTGCTGGATCAGCCGCCCGACTTCTTGTCTCCAGAACCCCACCTTATTTGAGATTGAGTTTGAAACCTTCATCTTCATCTAGTAAATTCAGTACTTGTTATACTTGTTCTTGCTAGTTCTTCAATTGTTTGCAGGACGAGTGCTTTAGTGGTCGCGTGACGCACTCCACAAGATCGCGGCAGCCATTGGAGGTGGTGTATCGGTTGCTAAGGCGCAGCTTGGAAGGCTGTAGTCGGATCGTGAACGTCGTCTCCATCCACCAATCGAGTTATCCCACGCCCTCTCATCGAAAGATCGGGATTCAACCCTAGCGGGTTCATACCAATTATCACCACAACTACCAACTAAAGTGGACAATCTAGAACATGAGAGATGACCTAAACAACGATGCCACTGTGTAAAAGTAGTGGTAGATGAAGCAATTGATATGGAGGCAGGAGGACTAGATGACTTGCCAGTCAAGGAAGGCAAAGGAAGACAACCAGTCAAGCTCCCAAAGAAGCTAAGTCGGAACACTAGGTCCAGTCCCCACTAGAAGACTTGTATGGATATCGTGAACACAACGAGACAAGAATCATCCTCAAGAATGATACAATAGCTGTGGCCAGCGGTTTGACTAGCAGATATCAATATCAATTGCATAGTGAGCTTAGGAACATGCGAAATAGTAGGAACATGAAAAGAAGAGGTAGGAAGAGTGACACATCAACAATCAAAGACGTGTCATCAATGTTCTGAATGAGAGGTGGATTGGGTGAAGACACAAAGGACAAATCAGTGGAATCAGGGGTCATGAAAAGAAGCACCAGAATCAAGGAAGCACTTAGATGATATACCTAGGCGAGGAGGTAGAGGAGAACCAGAAGCTTGGCTCCTATGTGCTGAGGTAGTAAGGTGACGAAACAAGGTAAGACCTCTTGCTTAGCAACAAGCACCAATCAAGGATTCTGAGGAGAGGATCCTCTTTGGTGTTGCTTCTTGGGGTCGTCCTCATCATGGCCAAGTTTGTCACAATAGCCCCCCTACCCCGCCTACCGGTGTGGTCGCCAGAACCGAAGTTTGCTGAGCCTCGCTCACACTTCCTGACTGAAGATGTCTCCTCGGATCGCAGCTTAGGCATCGTCTCAAGCGAATGGCACAGATGACGAGTCAGCAACTCCTCTCTAACAGGCTCAAACTCAGGACGAAGTCGAGAGAGGAACTCGTGAAGACCAAGACCAAAATTCCTAAACAATTTCATAGCACTACCAGCGATCGAAACAAGAGGCGAAATCCTGTTGGTGGTCTCGCAAGATCACTTTACCCTTTTAGAAATGCACATAACAACCAATGCAATCACCGCTAAAATCACCCCGAGAGCTGATGCCGCATATTGGTGCATCATTGTAGTGTACGGACCACAAATCGAGAATGACAAGCTCCTATTCCCACAAGAACAAGGAATTTAGCAGCGTAGAACAGAGACCATTGGCTGGTCCTTGGCGACTTCAATCTGATTTATCAAGCAACAACAACAACATAGCCTTTCAGTGCCAAGCAAGTTGGGGTAGGCTAGAGTTGAAACCCACCAAGAGCCCCAAGTCATGGTTCAGACACTTCAATAGCTGCTTTCGAAGCATTCCTATTCAAACATAGATTTTTAGGTATATCCCAAGCTTCAAATCTCTTTTTATTGCCTCATCCCATTTCAATTTCGGTCTTCCTCTACCTCTTCTCATATTATTAGCTTGGTTTAGGACTCCACGATGCACTGGCGTCTCTGGAGGTCTTCTTTGGATATGGCCAAACCACCTCAACCGATGTTGGACAAGCTTTTCTTCAATTGGTGTTATCCCTAGGCGATCACGTATATCATCGTTCCAAACTCGGTCCATTCTTGTGTGACTACAAATCCATCGCAACATACGTATTTCTGCAACACTCAGTTCTTAAACATGTCGAATCTTTGTAGGCCAACATTCTGCTCCATACAACATAGCCGGTCTAATTGTCATTATATAAAACTTGTCTTTTAGTTTTTGTGGTACCCTCTTGTCACATAGAATGTCAGAAGCTTGTCGTCACTTGATCCAC